TAGTTTGACATAAATAATCCCATCTGAATCTACTTAGCATATTTTACGACATTCTTAATACAGCTTTGGAAATGTTAAAATCTCACAATACTGCATTGTTTTGTGCAGTATCATATTGCAAAACACAAACTGTGCAAACAGAAATATACAGAAAATGGTTCAGATTGTAATGACATCAGGAATTTTAAGATGTTATCTGTCCTCAATAATAATAATACTTCTGGACAACTGAGCAGATTTTTTTGTGCTTTATTTCAGAAATACTTTAAAGCAAAATAAAAGAAACATATTTTTCTCCTCCATTCAGGGTGCTTTTTATTTCTCAAATTATTTCTTTTTCCGTGATCAGTGGCCACAGAAGCTTTCAGAGCACTGAGAGGAGTTTGTAAGACTACAGCATAACAGTGCTACCACACAGTCACAATGCAGTTTTCCCTGTTCAATCTAATTGGAAAAAAATAATTGACTGTAAAAAAAAAACCATGAGCTATATTTTAGGTAAAGTGGATACAGCCAGTAAGGCTCATTTAATGGGTGGCAGAAAGAGAAAAATTGGCATTCGTCACACAAATAGAATCTATATTTAAGTCTGGGATTGAGCTTTCTAATTTTCCATGGGCTGTGCTGCTGTGGATGCAGGAGAGCTACCTGGAGGCTGTAGAGAGCGATCATTGCTCTAGAAATGGTAACATGTCCTGACAGCTAAGTTGGATACCACATTTATTTTCAGGAGCTCCAGCGTTCACCCAGACAAACAGCATGACAGAGGGAAAGTTCAGGAAAAATAATGTGGATTTCATAAGGACATCTGACCACTCTTTACAAAAACAGGCCTCTGTTGAGTTCCACTTCATATAATTCAATATAACAAACCCTGTTATTGGATTAACAATAGCAATGTCCTTGTGCAAAGTTTGTTTATCCTGTCATAAATAAGTTCAACTACAGCTGAAAGAAATGATTGTATACTGTATCAACACACTGCAGGAGGATGTCTAATGCTTATTACACTGTTTATAACAGTTGCAAAAGCTTGCAAAATCTACACCACAGGTATCCAAGACTCATCCTGAGGGGTTTTCATTCTAACGCTAACATTTTCCCTAAGTGTAATCCTCAGCCTTCAAATCTAAATTAACAGGGCTTGTGCTTCATCTTTAGGTAACATTTTAGAATAAGTGACTAGTCCTGTTTAATTCATGGAATACAGGGGAAGTCATATGAAAAGTCCATAAATATATCATTCCCCAAATATATCACTGACCAAGCAGGAACAGGAACAAGTTCGGTGTTCAGAGGCAGTTTTTGGGGGACACTGAGCTCCAGGTGAAGTGTTTAGTGAATTGGCACTGCAATACAGCCATAATATAGCTTAAAATGTTGTAAATTGAGCTTAAAAAATGTGGCCTATGTCAAAAATGGCGGGGATTGTGTTCTTCACCAATTCATCTATGTTGGCTATGATATTGGTGACATGTCCCATCCTGTTACTTTGTTTTCCTATGTTTCGCCACTAGTCATCCTGACATCTTTTCACTACGTCTCACAGTATTCCTGGTAACATTGACCACTTTGTCCTCTACAGTGGACCCTATGGCTAGTTTGGTAGCCACACATGTCACCAGAAGCATCTCCAAAGAGCTCTCTTTCATGCCGAGTTAGCGCTGATGTAAACAATTCTCAGCAAACAAACTTTGCATTTTGTGTTTGAGCGTCCAGATGACTTTGCTGTCTTTCCTCTGTCACTTTTAGCTGTTATTTCCCTGCTATGTCCTCCTATCTCATCTGACCTTCAGGCTGTACCAGCATCCTCTATAAATACCGAAATGCTCATGAGGTTAGACTTGAGGTCCTCAAAAATGTCACTAAGCTAAATGTACAAAACACACACTTTTGACTCAAACTAGAATCTACAGTTGCCAGCTGCCACAATAGATGCTATACAAGTTAGAAAATGATATTCCCAGTGTGACATTAGATAACAAATATCGAACTATTATATAAGGTGGCACAGTGCTGCAGTCATTAACATTGTTGCCTTGCAGCCCTAATGATATGTGTTCATTTCTTGACCTGGTTGCTATCTGCATAGGGTTTGTACATTGTCCCCATGTTTGTGTGGGTTTCCTCCACCTGCTAGAGTTTCCCCCCAGAGTCCAAAGATACACTAGTATCTAAGTTGGCTTCTGAGAACAAATGGCCCTAGTTAGTGTGTGTCTGTGCCCTGCATTGCACTGGTGTCCCATTCAGGGGGTGTCCTGATTTGTTCCTGTTGCTTGCAGGTATAGGCTCTGGCTCCCCTGTGATCCTGTATTAGATAGAGTGGTTATAAATTGGATAGGTAGATAACTATTACACCCAGTGTAAACTAAAGCAAGATTTCATTTTTTTCATTTCTGTAGGATTGTCTGTCTTCATAACGGAGGTTTCTCTCGTCAAGATGGACTCCTCTTAATTATTTCTTTATTGTTTCAGTTTGTCTCACATTTACTGATACGTTCCATCTCATGTGGATCCAGTGCATAATTTATTTGAATAATTAAAGATATAGTTCCCTGCCAGCTTAAACTAGCTCATTCAGCTTGGTTCTCCAATGATACCCCCTAAAATTATTCCTCTTCTAATTAGGATTCCCTCTCCACCCACATACACATTGCTAGCATATTTTCACCATTTTATGAATTTCATTTTTCTTGTAGCCTGGATATAACACAAGTTCATACACATTTTCACCTATTTTAATATAACAAATATGGCAGTGCGGGAGTATAAGTATATGATAGAAATGATGTTCTTTAAAAAAGTGACTGTGTTGTAAAAGAAGAAATGTTGTTGATTATATTACAGCTTAAAGAAGAACTTTAAATTAAATAAAATCAATGCAGAAGTCAGAATTAGTTTGGGGGACTGTGCAGCCACAGGATTATGTGTGTACAGTTGACTTAACACAGCAGATGTGATTAGCTCATATATTACAATAAGCTTCAATGACAAAAGAAATTAAAAAGAAGGGAAATACATTCTTTTTGAATCTCTGTCTCGGTCCTCTACATTGCCAAAGTGGTTCAGAGCTGTTATGCTGTTCATGGAGGAAAAGTACAATTTTGTTCAGATTGATTCTAAAAATAATGGTTCTTCATCTGTTTCTGCCTCTGCCTGTCTTGCTCTCTCTCTGTCCCCTTCTCTTTCAAAAAGCATACAATACCAGCATACAAATTCTGAGGCTCAGTATTTATCCTAGTCTTCTATTGTAAGTACATGTTTTATTTATTGAAGTTTTTTTTCACTGACATGCCCTGCATCTTAGATCTCTCTTCCTTTGCATTTTTTATTATTTAAATGCTTCCATCGTCATAAATCCATTAGAGAGGCTGTATATTTTCGGCAGACTAAAGAAATGTATTTACTCAAAGAGTCGTGTATGTCTGGAGCAAGTTGTCTCAGGGATGTTGGATCTTAATTATGGAGCAGACTCGCAGAGATGAAAGTGGAGTTGCAAAAAAAACTGTGATACAGACAGACAAGCGCTCTGATATAAGAGAGTCTTTTCTGTTCCAAGCAGGCTACAAGTGGCATAGTACTACTGTATTAGGTAAATGTATTTCCATTTCTCTAAGGAGATTCAGAGAAGTAACACGCATATACTGTAGTAAAGCTATTATCCATCCAAATAAAAAAAATACAATATTGTTTTCAGGCTCCCTGCTCCTCCCCCAAACAAAACAAAAGCAATTTCAATAATGGAGACTAATTCCAAATTTAATGGAGCTGTATATACATAACATATATGTTGGATTTTAGGGAGGAGATAAGATTATTTTTTTGGTTATGACCTATTGAAATAATTCTCTCTAGACAGGCATATATGAAAGCCACAATTACAATTTACAGCTTGAGAACTTGTTTTTAATCTGAAGATGTTAATGCTGACCTTATTGAGTCAGTTGCCTGCATAACTGCAGGTTATGCAACTACAAAACCTCAGTGTTTTTTTTTCCATCTCTTCCCCAGTTGTTCTACCAGTTGTTAATGTTCCACATCCTGCCCTATATTCCCCACTCAAGCCAAGTGATATCACTGAGGAGCAAGCACTTTAAAGAGTGGTGCTAACTTTTAAATCTGATCCCAAGTTTCTAAGTCTGTTTGAGCTCTGAAAGCAAACACTGGCCACAGGGGTTTGTGTAAAGGGCAACATTTTGCTGCTTTCACAGTAGCACAGGACCGAAATGAGTATAACTCATTAATGTAATTGCTACGATTTACTAATATGCAGTACAATGTTCTTTTTTCAGGTGCATGCGCTATATTAACTGTATAAATGCATTTATGTATACATGCATATATATAGCAAAACTAACCATAATTGATAGAGCAATATAAAGACATTGTAGTTATATTTAAAGAAATACTGCATTGCAATATTTAGTATCTCAAACCAGTGTGTCTTCATACACTTCCGCAGTCCTGAAAAAACACTTGCTACAGTACATGAGACAATGCCTCATAATCTTCTTCTCATGGCTTGACCTATACTAGGCAAAGCCAACCTTACCAATAACTTTAATGCATCTAAATTTGACATTCTAATCTTTTGCCATTTGTATTCCTGTTAGCTGTCACTAACTTTAAACCTCAAATCCCTGGGAATTACAGAGTTTTCTGTACAGATTCTTTCATTCATTTGGAGAAAGTGTTGATCTAAAAAAAATAAAAATGACTCAAAAGTCCCGATAATGCTATTTCATAGAGACAATGAAATACCAGTTTTAACAGTGTAAGCATGGTGTCAGAACTGCTAGGATTATAACCGTTACAGTTGTATAATTATAAGCAGTAGAAGTGATAAGAATATTTGTAATAATCTTCTTATACACAAGGCAAATCAACTTAGCCTCTGAAGTCAGTCAGCATTTTGCATCATATTATGAGGAGGGCTGAGGTGACTGAAGAGGGCACTAAATCCCTGTTCCAGTATTCACACAGCCCGAGGACAACCAGTCTGCACATCACACAGCTGCCGAGCGCTGTGCAGGGCTCTGCCTGCCAATGAAACAAACTCCTTTAGTGAAACACATGCTGATGCTGGAAGGAGGAGCTGCCCACACTTTCAGACTGTTTCAGAGCATGTGTCTCCATCCTTTGCAAAGGTTTCAGACTTGAAACAGATCGGATCGTTGCTTCAAGCCACAGCTAGAGGGGAAAAAAAAACTTCGGCTCTGGATCTTTAAACCAGGAGGAGATGGGTTTGCATAAAGAGCTTCAGAGTCAGGAGGCTCTTTCTGGTTCGGTTTAAGGGGTTGGAGGAAGTCTCTCTTGGGTTAGGGGAGCCAGCTGGGCTGGAGGACAGATGCCTCACGACTCCGCCATGAACAGCACACACCAAGCACTGCTGCTGCCCGAGCCATTCTTCAACAGCACAGGTGACATCAATGAGACTGGGGCGCTGGGAAACCGGAGCACACCTGGCTTTTGTGAGCAGGTTCTCATCAAGGCAGAAGTCTTTCTGACCCTGGGAATCATCAGCATGCTGGAGAACATTCTCGTCATCCTGGCCGTCATCAAGAACAAGAACCTACACTCCCCCATGTACTTCTTCCTCTGCAGCCTGGCCGCTGCCGACATGCTGGTGAGTGTGTCCAACTCGCTGGAGACTATTGTCATCGCCATCCTCAACAACCGCTACCTGGTCGTCAAAGACCGCTTCATCCAGATCATGGACAACGTCTTTGACTCCATGATCTGCATCTCCCTGGTGGCATCCATCTGCAACCTGCTGGTCATCGCCATCGACCGCTACATCACCATCTTCTATGCCCTGCGCTACCACAGCATCATGACAGTCAGGAAAGCCCTCCTCGCCATCGGGGTGATCTGGCTGGCTTGCATCATCTGCGGCATCATCTTCATCGTCTACTCTGAGAGCAAGACCGTGATCATATGCTTGATCACCATGTTCTTCACCATGCTGGTCCTCATGGCCACCCTCTACCTGCACATGTTCCTCTTGGCCCGCCTGCACATCAAGCGGATCGCGGCGCTGCCGGCCGAGGGCATCGTCCAGCAGCGGACCTGCATGAAGGGAGCCGTCACCATCACCATCCTCCTGGGGGTGTTCATCTGCTGTCAGGCTCCCTTCTTCCTCCACCTTATCCTGATAATCACCTGCCCGAAGAACCCGTACTGCCTCTGCTACATGTCTCACTTCACTACCTACTTAGTCCTGATCATGTGCAACTCGGTCATCGACCCCATCATCTATGCCTTTCGCAGCTTGGAAATGCGCAAGACTTTCAAAGAGATCATATGTTGCTACGGAATGAGCTTTAGCTTCCGGTGCAAATAAAAGATTCTGCCTCATTCGATTTGTTTGTTGGCTCCCCTGTGCAGAGCTGTTGCTTTAAGTCCTTTTCATTTTTAGCCCATGATTAACCCGTAAAGTAGGGTCTTGCAGCACTTTGACCACTAAGGAAGAGAACAGTAGATAAAGGTAGGAAACAAACTGACAGTAAATAAACTATTAGAAGAGAAAAATGAAAGAATTCTTCATTTTTCTTATCTAAGAAAAGCCTATTTTTATACAACAACCTATTTTTCTATGTGGATATAGGAGTTAGATGCACTTAAAAATGTAAATTAAATGGAACGTGATTTTTAAATTTCAAGGCAAATTCAGCACTGCTTTAATAAATGGGCTGAAAAAAACAGAAAATATAGATTATGAAAACGAAGACGTATATTAATAACATTTTTCTGTCTTTTAACAATTTATGTATTGAGATTGCTGGCAGAAATTTCACTTATACAGATTTACAAAAGCCTTTTTAATGCTTCATCATATAATGAATGGTGATGCGTCAAAGCCTGATACATTCAAGATTTTATTCTTACGGCTGTATCAATGCCTCCAATAAATTAATAAAGCGTTAAAGATTTTTTTCATTTATTATTGTCCAAGTAAATCTTAGTAGAAAATGCTTACTAAAGGATTTAACTCACTGTCTGCAACATTCCCAGTGACAAATATATTTCTTTCTAAAGAGAGAAAGAAGAAATACTACAGGGAAACTATAGACACAATAAACTGCCATTATTTAAGCAGAAAAGAGAATTTAGAACTGTCACATTTAAAGTTCCTCTTAAAGATGATGCCTTGAAAAATCTTTGTGGCTTTTTCTTTGACTTTCTGGAAATACATGTGCACTAATTAGACTGAAAACCAAGAAGATAAAGCTATTGACTGATTTTCAGACCCCTTTGCCACTGTGAAAAAAAACAAATGTCTGTATTTTCTGACATCAAATGGGGGTGGAAATAAGCTCTTCTGAACTCCAAGCAACATCAACTGAAGAGAGAGATGTTCTGGGAAATTATGTTTTATTGATCTAATTAACTAATTAAACTCAAGACAATGACAAGTGACTCTTGATGTGAAGCATCTGTTGTGTGCCAGACCTGAACAGTGAACAGCTTCTTAAAACACTCAGAAAGCTATGAAATACTTTATATACTGATCTATCTTTTGCTTTTTCTGGAGAGAAAGACTTAAAAAAGTGAATCTGGTAAAAACTATCAATATTTCATTAGCTAGTTTGGACAATCATTAAAGTCACTATTCACAGATATCAGCTTAAAATACTATCCTGACACACGGATGTTGGAAAACCTTTAGAGTTGCTTTCAAATAATAATAATAACCAGAACCCCAACCGTGATGATTTACACATAACAGTTTCCATTTACAACTTGAAACTACACAATAAGACATGACTATACTGTCCTCTATATTCTTTTTTGTATGAGCCAGCTGAAATGTGACAAGTGCTTTAAAATGTTTGATTTTGCTTCTTCAGAATTTGCTGAATACTCCCCTGAAACCCCCTTTGATATTGTGCTGGACAAAATAATACTGTATTTTACCTGAATAAGTAATACCTGTATTTTACAGGTCTTTTTGACTCATGTTCTTGCAGAAGGAGAAATTATTTGCTATTTTTAAATCCCTGATATAGGTTACTCCATTTCTGTTAGGACGTTTATTATACTTCATGAGAATATAATTTGGCATTAAAAGATAATGTCTACAGAAACTTAATTTCTGTACAAATTGTTATTAAGGAGCTGTAGCTACAGTATATGTATTGATGCTAAGATCATTCAAAACAGTCACAAATGGGTTGTGGCTCCAGCAGGGGTGTGTACATTGCATTAAGTCCAGCTCATAGTATCTGACTACAGCTTTGTCAAAATTTCAAAATGAAATAACTTGTGTTGGGTTTGTAATTATTTTGTTATGTCTGATGCTGAAATTGTCATGTTTGTCTTGGGTCTGTGTCTTTCAGTATTGAAAATCAAAAATAATCTTCTAGTCTAAAAATGTTTGTATATATCCCTGTCACCAGAGATTTTTGCTGAGATAAGTTACACCCAGCTCATCTTTGTCTTTGGTGGAGATTCACAGGGTTCTCTCAAACCTAAACCTTTTCTCAAACCTTTAAAGTTTCTTTTCCTTCTGCAACCAGGTCAGGAGCCCCTGATTTGCAACAGACAACCAGGCTAAACCAGAGTAAGGCTCTATCTGAGTCTACACAGAATTATCAGGAGGACTGATTTGACAGAAATTATTCCTATGATTACAATATTTATGACTTTGTAAGTATATAGATAAAAAATTAAAATCCATACCAGAGACAGAGGCTTGAGCAGACTAGATAGTATGGTACAGGATGGTACGCCAAATATGAAGTTAAAAATATATGAAATTTAAGTTAAATATATTAAATAAACCTTGAATTATATTTATATGTATTCTACTAAGCTCTGGCCCAATGGGCTGTGGTTCTGGTAGGGGCTTGAATTTATCTTTTATGTATCCTGTACAAAAGACTTTTCAGTGTTTTTCTGTATTTTTAAGCACTTGTACAGTATAAATCACTATGAATCATGGGATATAATAAGAATTGCTGTTGTTATTATTTGCATTTGTGTCGTATCTTTTATAATCTAAATTATGATATTAATTTTTATCTTTCGTCACTGTGCAAAGGCTAGCTTGTACCATTACAACTGGAGACATATTGGTGTTTTGAAACATGTGCATCATGCTGGGGTAAATCCTGAAGTTCCGAGCTGTAGGGTGGTTTTTGTACCACCTGGTGAAGGGGGCAAATTACAGTAGGTTAATGATATGTGTCTTGAGGGAGGCATGGTAATTAGCGTTGCTGCCTCACAGCTGGACACTTCACCAAGTGCAGATGTGGGTTGGAGTCTGCATGGTATGGAGCAGGGGCTCTGTGGCTAAGGATCTGTGCCTGTGGCTGGAAAGTTGCCGGTTCAAATCCCCCAGCCGGCAGAGCAATCCTACTCCGCTGGGCCCCTGAGCAAGGCCCTTAACCCCAGCTGTTCCAGGAGTGCTGTACAATGGAGGACCCTGCACTCTGATCCCAGGCTTCCCATGTGTCTCATGGAGAGCAAGCTGGGGTATGGGAAAAGATGAATTCCTAATGCAAGAAATTGTATTGGGCTAATAAAGTGATGTTACTCCACCTTCTTCCAAAGCTTAACTTAATTAGGTTAATTTGTATAGTATCTCTAAATTGTGTATGTGCCCTGTGATGGACTGTCATCCTGTCCAGGGCGTGCCTTGCCTCTGCCACCATGTGTTTTTGCATTTCAGCGTGTAATACTGTATGCCTTCTTCTGATTCTAAATACTTTTAGCTTAATTTCTCTGCATTTTAATACTATTGTTAGACTGTTGTAATTTACTGATCCAATCCATCTTTGCATTTGCTAGATGTTTTAGCAACTGTTAGAAAATGTTTTAGCCCCTTTTAGCTGGCATTGTACTCTGATACGTTTTTACCAGGACATGTCACAGCTTTATAATTGTTAAGAACACAATTGTTAAGTTACAAAGAGGAGACCATTCGAACAGTCTTGCCTGTTTAGTTATTAGCAGCTAACTGAGTGGAGGATCTGATCAAACCTTTTCTTGGAAGAAGCCAGGGTATGAGCTTCAGCGACATGAAGTTGTTTCACACTTGCACAACCTTGTAGGTAAAGAAGTTTAATTAAGACTCCAAGTCGTTGTAAGAGTCTTAAATATTAAAAGATCCGAATGTTCAGAGATAAATTCTCATAATTAGAAACTCAACATATATCTAAACAGCTATATATAATATAAGCTCCACATTAGCAATATCTTTCACGGACTGTAGAAAAAAAAACACTCTGCAACTTACATGGAATTTCAAAATATATTTTTGTCGCTTTAAGAGCTATGAATGTTAAAACACATTTTATGTTTGATTCATACTGGTAATGTGTCAATGTACACGTTCATGTTCCATACTCATGCATCATTTGTTAGCACAAAAAAAACTATATATATCCTGTCCGCAAAGGATCGAGGGCTTTTTTTTTAACTGGAAAATGAAACCTGTTGCTTTCCTTACATGCAGGGATTATTTCCCTCTGTAACCATGGAAACAGCTGGGACTGCTGCAGCTGCTGTTGTGATGACAAAGTTTGAATCGTACTTTTCTGAAGTTGTGATTTAGAAGCACCTGTAGCAGTCCACAGTGTCTGACACCTTCATGTTGCCTGTGGAGATGATCTCCCAGAAAGCTGTCAAAATCCTATTTAAACCACCAATCTTTGAAAAAAGAATCTGAGGTTGGTAGCTTCAAAGCTTGATGATATTTGTTGATTTTTCCAAAGGGAGTTTTGTATCTCTTGAATTAACTGTCAATACATGCCTGTGGGAGTCATGTGATTTTGAATCGAGCCATTTGTCAAATTAAAGCAGAAACTAATCATGCTGTGTTGCACATTGTGTCTTTCTTATCAGGTAAAGGCAGTATACTAGAACCTTTTGCTCTTGCTGAGAGCGACCAAATTGTTAAATACCAAAATACACGTAAAACTGAAATCTGCCTGTACACACCACATTTTGTTTGTGCTGACTGGCACCTGGGACAACGGTTTAAGGCTCCACTGCCAATACTATGGAAATCAGTCAAAGCAGTTAGCTCCTCCGATTAGCAACAGAAATCAGATAGGAACAGTCCTTGCTTCATACTTGCTGCATACTGTACATCATAATAGTAAACATGATAAGCAGGAGCAGTAGCCAATTTTCCAGCCTGCTAGGACCCTTCTCCCAGCTGCAACAGGTCTCCCAAAACCAACACAGATCAGCACAAGACAGTTAGACCACATCATTATCATTTAATTCCTCAAAGCCACAGCCTTTCATCCACTTTAGTCACTTTGTGACACCCATCCCCCCCCATCATTAGTGTAAAAAAGATGTCTCAAGCACACAGATGAAAAGCCCACTGAAAGTAACTGAAATTGTTAAGACTGTGCTGCTGTAATTTACAGATCCAATTCATCCTCCATTTGTCAGATTGTTTCAGAAACTATCTGCACTCTCTCCAGCCCTCCTTTGTACTGGTCTGATTCTGCTGCACAATTTCTGGCCTTTTCAGGAGCTGTTTAAAAAATGGAAGGTAATTATAACACCAAGTTTAATGGAAAATGGAATGAAAAATGAAAAGTACTTATGATGGGATATGCAGTGAATACAAAACCGGATTAATGTAAGTGTACCTGAGGTCCTTCAAGTGCCAGTGCTGACACTGAGATAATGACTATTGTACACTGTTCACCAGAACTCTGTCATAGTTCAAAATGAGAGCTTGGTTTAACACTCTGTGGTGGTGACTTTTATGTGTTCTGTTACTATAAACTTGCTGACTACCTCACCATCATATATCTGGTAGAGTCCTTGCAACCAAACCCCATTCTACCCTTTCTGCAGGATTGCTTTTAGTTGAGATTGTAATGAGGATAGCAAAGGATAGGTTTGTACTGCATGGACATCCAGTCTTCAGTAAGTCTAATATTCGTGGTTTGTTCTGGCAAAAGAAGGTGACCAACTTTGTATTTTCTGCCACTGAGATAGCCTATTCATGTATGTAGGGAAGGATCTCACAAACCAACACAAGAACTATTTGGACCCCAGTTACCAAAACCCAAATGTTCAAAAGGAGCAGGCTAGCATCTCCATTCTCTAAAACCAGATCCAGCTGGTGCCCTGGTGTGCCTCCTTCTGCCTTCTTAGTCCACAGCGCTGGCGGTCCTGAACAATGTTGTCCCTTATGCGCCTCCTTCTACCCCATTTTTCTCCAAGTCCAGCTTCGGGCAGGGGGAAGGAAGACAATGCTGGACCCTTCCTCTACTTCTCCCTGCCAACTCACTGGTGTCCGAGTCCTCTCCTGGGTGCTGTGGTGCAAATTGTGTTTCTTCCAATTACTTCTGTCTCTGTGTGCTGCATGAGTCCCCATGACTAGGGTATTTTTCTTGAGTGTGGGCAAAGCTTACGTCTTGGGGCTGATTAACCAACTGCCTTGCACTGGTGGCCAGGTGTAATGACACATTGGTTATTTTACCCCTGCTCTGGAGTCCTCCGTCTTGCTCTGAAGTCAATTAAGCAGCAACCATAATATTAATCTGAACCGAGAGACCCATTTTAACCTATCAAGTTGTGAGCACTAAATGTTCCGCACTCTCTTCACTGTTTGTTTTGACTAACCCCAATCCAGTCCTCTAACCAAGAGACTGCCCGTTCTTAACCGAATGAAGAGAGAGTTTAACCCCATTTAAAGAGACAACTAATAAGACACAGCTGCAGCAATGTGCTCTGTTGCACCCTTGGTGAAAATACATGCATGTTATTCAAATATGTCTTTACTTTAAGTCCACACATACCACAACCTTAACACCTCATACTACCTAATGATCCACCTGTACCTGAACAGCCTGAACCACCAGGTGTACACAGAGAATGTGTGTCGGCAACACTAAAGGTCAGTGACCTACTAGATTAAGAGATTCATGTTTTACTTTACGGGTTTTGGGGACATGACTTTTTTAAACAGGGAAGGGTGTAATGGGACATCCATTGTGCGTGGATATGGCAGGAGTCTGTGGAAATTTTAATTTCATTAGCATGGCAATCGGCAATCCATAGGCCTGCGTGAAGGTGTTAGCATATCGATAACCATGTCTGAAGACTGCAACCAGCTGTGCCCATGGCATTTGTGTGATGCAAAACCAAAACTTTAAAAAGACATCTGTGAGAACAGAGACATGGAGACAAAAGGAGGAAGATCTCCTTTGTACAACACTACAAAGACCTGAGAACAGGACTTTATCTTTGGTTTTTCCCTGAGACCAATACTTTCACTAAATGGCCCTAAACAGTATCTTTGGGAGACCAAAAGAGACTCTTTATGTAATGTGGGCAGAATTAATAAATGATTGATAGGCCTGAACAGGTACAGCATTTATTGAACACATTAATGAGGTAGGGTTTAATTTTAAAACTTGCACCAAAAGCAAACCTTTTAAGAAGGAATATCCAGTCACAGGTGTTCAGAAACAGGAGGCCTTGGTGTAAAATGTGACAGCAGAAGAATGGTGGCATACAGAAAGCTATCATCACTGATGGACAAGTGCCTTGTCACTTACGTCACACTGAGACCTTGTATCAGAGGAGTCCAGTGTGGACATGGTGACCCAGGGACAATGGGGACTTCTACTGTCACTTCTGCCACTGTGTTGACCAGACTGCTTCGGTCCATCTGGGTTGGACAGAGGAAACTGTGCTGGATTCTTGCAGAAATATAGTACTGACTCACCAGCTTTTTGCTGGAGGAAT